AACAAGGGTCCATATCATCCAATTTTGTTATATAATTTTTATTATTATGGGTATTATAATAGGTCATCAAATAATGTCTTTTTCAACCATCCCATTGATTCGTAGGCTTCAAACCTTCACATCTACATAAAAAAAATGAATTATGAAATATAAATTAAAAGTAATATAAATAAATATTTTTTATGGTATGTATTCATTTTGATGGATTAAATGTTACCGAAACGATTTTATTTATATGAAATTAGTATTTGAATATGCTACTACTTTTTTTAGATTGTCCCATATTTTAAAAAATTGCCTTGAAGTATGAATTTCGAAATTTGGGATAATTATAATTGGAGAACATAACCCTACACGTTAAACTATCTCATACATTTGGAATCGTGGGGTTTCACGACACATAAATCAAGTTATACCCATTTTGGAAAATCCGTGGCACTAAAAAAATTAGGAGGTTTGATTATTGATTGAGAACCGAAAATCAAACCAATCCAATTTGATCTGAGAAGAACCAAACTGAACCAGTTGGGACTTTTGTCCCGCCCTACGTGGGATGATATTAAATCGATATTTTTAATTTTAGTATTGAATAAATCAAATCCAAACTAATTTGATTCAATTTTTGGTCTATTGTCACAAAATATTCTATTTCTTGGGCTTGTTTTAGTACAATTAGACACCCCCGAATAATGTTTTAATTGTGGTGAATTTTCTTGGTGAACATTGAATACCAACCGAAATGCAACCTAAGTCTTTGGCTCTTTAATGTTAGAATATTTCTTAGGATAAAAAAAATACTCGAATTGACTCTTCACATGCATAGACGTGGATTTTTACCAATGGAGCAAGTTACTGGATGAGATTGGGGCATGTGGAAACTAAGGAATCACATAAATCCCTCATCAATTTTCTATTTAGAACTTGCAGTTTTTACTTTATAGTTTTGTTCATTGTCTGGGAAGTTAATTAATAATTCGCTTAACTCATACAACAATTCAATATGAAAAATTCAATGTAACTACGTTAATTTGTTGTTGATTGAGTGCGATAGATGACTAAAAATTTACAATAAATTCTTTTTCAGAAGACAAAATCAACATCATTTAATAGTGTCACCAAGTCACAAATCCTATTATCACTATCGATTGAAAGGAAATGAAATGCACTGAATAGCTTATTCACTTTCAAAATCAATACATGTCAATTAACATGCAAATAAATGTTGTTTGAATCATAATCTCCCATGCAATATTATTATAAAGACATTTCCTAGCATAATGTAACTTAGAGTAGTGTTACTTGTACATAATTATTTACAGATTGATATACAGAGGAAAAAAAAACAATTTGGAAGAGAGAAAGAGAGTGAGGAGGCAAAAAGAGAGAAGGAAATCGGTTAAATATTAATATAATGACATGTCATCAATCTCTAAATAATTATGTACATGAAACATCGCTTGTGTACTCGATCCCTTTTTTATTTTTGCTAAAAATCATATTTTTAGTAGATTTTAGCATAATGGAAGGTAAGATAGGACCAATTTTTGTGCTGAAAATTGCCATTCAACTGCTATCAAGGCGAGTTTCCTTGATTCGATTTTGAAAGGGGAATTGGAGGAAATATTGAATGGTATGGACCATCCTAATAATGCGAAAAAAAATATAGCAACATCATTCAAATCTGGAGGTAATTTACAATCTCACCAACTTAGGAAGCCAATTTATGGGATTCACAGGCATTCATTGTGGTGTCCCAAATACTGGAGCTCAGTGCCTAGAAATCGTCCAAGCATTAATTGCAGCAGAACTTCGAATCCACTTGAACAAGTGCTCATTCATCAATCATTTCTATACTACACCAAAGATAAGCTAGTTTACACAGTTGCAGAACTGAACCACTATATCCAGTAATCATGCTCTGACAACGGGATCCCCTGCATGGACTTCCTTCCAAGATACAAGTCTACCTCTATATAAAGTTCAATTCAGCTAGAAGACTGTTTATATCGAGATGGAACCCCGAAAATTCTTAAAAGTTCATTTGACTCGAAGCTTCTGAATTCTTAAGATGTAAACAGAACTGTTGAAGCAAAATTAAATGGATCGGTACCTTTTTAAACAACTATAAAATAACAGTGAACAGAATGGGGCACAAAGAAGATACATCACCTAGGAATTTCAAAAGCCCGAGATCTAAATCTTTTAGAATATGATGTCATATAATTCGCACTTAGAAGTCGAGAAACTAACTACAAATAATTCAGGACAAAATATATTGTTCTTCAAAGTCGATGAGAGAAGATTGTGCGATGCCACAGGTCATATTCCAAATTAGCTCCAACAGAATCTAGGCATGTCCTAAAATCTTCGCCATCCGAATTGAGTTCAACTATGTTTTCCATCTTATATGTAAAAGGGGTCTCAAGGCATGACTAAAGCCTTAAAAGCATCCCAATATTTTTTACCAACACATACTATCATGATGAACCATTGACAGATTCAGAACAATCAAATTTTAAAATATGGCGTGTACAAGGTGATCTTCTAGATCAAAGGCTTAAGTAAATACACATTCTTCACAGAAAGAGAACTGGCTCGTATATGTTAGGCCTCAAACAGAACAAATACCTTTAAATGTTAAAACTGAACAAGAGAACAGCTCGAAGATTAGAATTTAGTATTACCGAAATGGCACGTTGGTCAATCATTTAGATTGATAACCAGATCAGACATAGTGATTACTGAGAGTTACCAAAGACTAAAGTCCAGAATCAAACTCAGATTTGAGCAGAAGTTAACAGAAAGAAAACGTAATTCTTAAATTTTAATTAATTCAGCATTCTGTTAATAGTATTTAAGCAAAATGTTAAAAAAACTTTGTATATATCAATCGGAACATCATATATTCATGGTAAATTAGTAGGCTGCCAAAAACGTACATTCTTGTCTCATAATGTAGATGACCAAAACAAGCGTACTGGAATATGTTTGACGCAAAACTTTTCCATAAACCTCCAAATCACATATGAATCATTAAAAAAACAAAAAGAGAAGAATAAGTTCTTAAAACATTAAAATGGGAACTTTCTTCTTAAAAGTATCAACCATATTCGATCTGAAGCATGTTGAGAAGATGTAGACTCTGAGAAAAATATATCCAAAGTTAAAGAGGGTAAACTTTCAGACATAAAGAATCCTGTTCACAGGTGGAAAGCTCAGTCATTGCCATCTTAAAAACTAGCCAAGATTGCCAGGTCTACACTTCAAATGAGCCATGCCCCCAAATGGAGGCAAACTAAAAACTACGCCCCAAAATGGAGGCGAACTAAAAACTATGCCCCCAAATGGAGGCAAAAATAATTTATCAGGATGTGCACATCTAATTTAGAAAGATGTGCGGAATATTAGAAAGACGTACTTGGAAACTCTTCAACGGTGAAGAAGGCGTGTCTTTTGACATTATCACTAGAACAGTGGGACCCAACAAATCCTATTTAGGGGAACTTGAGGTACACCTTTTTTTTTATAACTGTGGATGTTCGGGTCAGTTTGTGCACACCTAAACTAATTCCACGGACCCTGAAGTTTACGGTCGGATACTCACCTCAGTGGCCTGAGGGGAGGAACCTGAGTTACCCCTAGGACTATAAAAACAATGCAAGCCTCAAAAACACAAGTGAAGGCAAAACTTTGATATAGCACTCATGCTTCACATCGCCTCAATGAAGTTACACAACGTCCATGGAAATAAGGTGAAATTTAGAATGCAAAATAGAAAGCATTCGGCAAGCAGCAGAATCTAAGAAGACATGCAAGCAACTGATATATCAGTTAATATTCCATAGCACATTTTTACACACATTTTGATAACTCTATTTGTCCCCATTATTTTGATAGACATTACTTTTCAGTTTCTAATATTTCATGACAACGTAAAATTTTAATAATTTCCTGCCTTAAACTGAACTTGGGATTCTTAAGAAACTACTAGCTATATTTATGCCCTTCACTTATAGTGTAAAGTTCTCCGCTAATATTTCCAGATACGAGGAAACCATGACCAATTTGAATTATCCAGTTCTTAAAAATTACTTTTTGATTTCTAATATAATTTTAGTGATTGAAAAATGCAATGAATTTGATTTCATGGGTGCCAATAAATGTAAAAATTTTGATTCACAGTAACTTGTAACTCTCAAGACTCAATTCCTACCAGTCACTACCTGTTTTCCACCATGTCAAAATGCAGTGAATTGGAAATAAATTTTCCACTGCCTTTTCTTTTCTGTTGATAATTTCGAAGCACCAGCTACTCGTGACCAAACTCTGGGCATCTTAGTAACACTATTTAACCATTTGGAATAAGTAACAATTTCAAGGACATGAATTGTAGCACTTGATAATATGGTGTCTTGCTACTTGCCCATCTCATATCAAGTACAAATGGAAAGAGAAGAGTCATATTGGTATGCACTTATTTTCCCCAGTGTTGAGTACGAAATGATCATTCTAAAAAAAAAAAGAACAATTTAATTGCTAAAAGTTCGTACATGCATCTGTATCACTGTATCTGCTAACTATTAGTTTTGTCATTGCAACTGTCGTTTGCAAAAATTAATACTGGAAAACAAAATTCATATCCATCTAATATGAAAACACAATAAAATACCTTCAGCTTATGCATTACAATCTTCCCAAGACTAACTTTATATTTGAATGATTATTACGGATTGATAAAATTTAAGAAATTTTGGCCAATTATCATCCAAACAACAGTATTTCACCACCTAAAATAGATAGAAAAATGCTTCCCTCACCACAACAAAATAATGCTAAACATTAAATACAAATGAAAAGAAACAGAATGGCAAATCAGCTTTCAGTCCTGTTTGCATTTATATACAATATATCCACTACAATATACAAAGATGATTATTATTGAAGCCAAACAGACTGGAATTCCCACAATTTACAAATAGTAAAATTTAGTAGTTATAAACTTAATCAATGAAACCTGTCTTTCGCCAGACAGCATTGCGCACCTGCCTCAGATCTTGCCCTTTCAATGTCCGACCAGCGCCTTCTAGGACCGAGCTCGCCAATATGGGCGAATGCTTGGCTGCCACCATCTCGTGTGGTGGAACAAACTCCTCCTCTTCCTCCTCCTCCTCCTCAACGTCGTCAACCACATTGAGAAACTCATTTCGTCTCCTCTGCATTGCCGCCGATAGTATTGGAACATTCACCGGTGCCGATTGATGGTAAAACCGCATCTTATCTGTCACTGGCGCGGCACTTTTCAGAAGTGAGGGGATCATAATTCGAGACGAGGATGACGAGGCAGAAGAAGAAGATGTCGAAGACGAAAGTGACGCGGATGTGGATGCCTTGTGGTTGAAAACCGCACCGGTTTCAGTGTTCGATCGGGTTTTTAAATCTTCAATTCCACAGGGTAGGGCTGCTAATATGCCAAAATTATTATGATTATGAACTTGATAGTTCGATTTAGAGCTCGGAACCGGAGTCGGATAGGAGGACTCAGTTGGGATGTCGAAGATTTCATGTTCGGTAAGCTCATACGAGGGCGCAGAGGATGTGGTGACCGGGGATTGGAATAATCCGAGGAATCTCTGGGAGGATATGCCGTGGTGGTACTGGTGGTTGCGGGGCCTGGCGCCGCCGCCGAATTTTGGCTCCATTTGGGTATCTGTCTGTGTGGGTTTGGCGGTAGAGTGAGGTGGAGTTGATGGCGAATGTATATTAGTCCAATGTGGGAGGAATCACCTGCAGTAGTAGCTATTGCAGTTGCAACAACCTATGCTTCAAACAGTTGTACGTTCGGGTTACCTGAATCCGTTCAGGTAGAAGGTTGACATTAATGTCCAAAGTACAAGAACTCATTGCGATTTCACTTGATAGAGAACCATACACGTGTATAATAAAATAAGCAATCAAGCTAAAGACAAATTTTAAAATAAGGGACACGTGTCATTTTTTCATTAGACAATTTTTTTTAAAAAAAGAGTGACCTACATGTACGGAAAACACACAAATAGGTGATGCCATTTTTTTTTTTTTTTAGTTTTGCTAGATATAGGGGATAATACAACACACGTATGAGGATGTTGATATTATTTAATTCAGGTCGGGACACACATATAATGTGAGTGTTGTGTCATCCCCTATGTCAAACATTATATTCATTTAGCTTAATTCTTTCTTCTTCTTTTTGCAATATTTAATTCACATGGAGCCTACACCGCATGTGAGTACCTGTTCATTTTCTATTTGATTTTTTCTGTACAAGCAGGAAAAAAGAGATATGCTTGGTGTACATAATTTATGTACATAGTGGTATACATAACACTCACATAGGTGGGGTCCACTCTAATAAAATATTCTGTTGGAAAGCATCAAACAGAAAGGCTAAGCAAAATGTAGCTGAGATATGCTTGGTGTACATAATTTATGTACATAGTGGTATACATAACACTCATATAGGTGGGGTCCACTCTAATAAAATATTCAAGTGGACCCATCCCCTTGTGAGTATTTTGTACATCTCTATGTACAATCATTATGTACATGTAGACTTATTCCAGGAAAAAAAAACCTGTCACACAGCACCTGTCAATTTCCCGTGTAGCTTTACTCTAAAATAAGATGGGTCGCTACAGTCGGTCGGCATGCTGTGACCGTTTTGATATTTTGTTTCTAGAATTGACACTGACTCACAGAGAAGGTCACAAATGGGCCGGCCCACATACAGTTGTCAGTAAGGAATGTATCAATGTTATAATTTGTGTTGGGCTTGGGCTTCGATGGGCCGGGTTTAACATACTATCTTTAGGTTAATTCGGGAGTGAATTGCCTATTTAGTCACTGAACTTTCGCCCATGCTTCTAAGAGGTCACTGAACTTCAAAATCACCTAAGTCATCACTGAACTTTGCAAAATGTTTTCGAGAGGTCACTGAACTTTGCAAAAGGTTTCCACGAGGTTACTGAACTTTAAAAATCACCCAATTCGTCACTGAATTTTGCAAAATGTTTCCCAGGAGTCACTAATTTATTGGTCTCCTAGGAAACATTTTGCAAAGTTTAGTGAACTCGTGGAAACATTTTGCAAAATTCAGTGAACTCATGGAAACATTTTTACTAAATAGGCAATTCACTCGTTAATTCGGTATATACTCAATCTTGGAAACAGATTTGAAAAATACTTACATTTAACCCTTGTTTCGTGGGGATTAAAATCAGATTTTTAGAAGATTTTAATAAAATTTAACTAAACTAGTTGCTAAAAAATTGTGGATCTCACAAAATATGTGATTAAAATTAATTGTTACTTTAATTTAGATTAAAATCTGAATTTTAATCCCTTACCAAACAAAAGTTTAATATGGTTACTAGAAAATTAGTTGATATGTGAATTCACAAATTTGTATTATATTCATACATGAATTAAAATCTGTTAGTGAAAAATAATGAAACAATCCACGTGACAAAAAGAGTACATACGTGACAACAACGCGATAGACACTTGACAAGTTAATTACATAAAACTGGTACGTGAGCTTTATTAACACAACTCCTCTCATGTCGAAGTTAGTTTTCCTTGTCATTAGATTCTCTTACCTTTTCTCGATACACTAAAATACTAAAATTATATAGATTCATCTGTATCTGTTCTTTTACATAATATCTTGTTCTTTCGCTCTGGCAAATCTTTCTTTTTTCTTTCCTTCTTAACAAAGCTTTAATAAACAACTTGAATTCAATATTTCTCAATTTGTTTAGTAGCATTGGATCATGTTGTCACTTCAGTGGCATACAGTTCATCGTTGGATACCTAAATGTGCTCGAAAATAATATATTAAAGGTGACTTACACTTTAAAAGCTAGTTGATTTAACTTAATACAGAAAATTAGGTATAAATCAGGGGAAATCTCAGATTTTTATTTAATAATCAAACAAATCTGTTTAAATTTTCAGGCCGTCAGTCAAGATATACTGTCTGAAATCTGTTTAAATTTTCTGGCCGTCATATTTTAGCTAGGCTTTGCTTTATCAATATTACCAGAAATTTTATTTGAACGGCTTTGACATAAATTTGCTTCGAATGCTAGGAAAATAATGAAAAAGAATGAGAGAAAGCACGATAACATTTTGCGAACCGACTGGATGATTCAGACTAGGCCTTGAATGCAAGACCTGCCTTGAGCTTCTGGATGGTAGCGACATCAGTTTTAAAGGACTTGGCAAGAACCGTGTCATCCACACCAGTGGCAAACAAAGTTGTAGGAAGTGAAGCTGTGCCAGCATTAGCACTACCAAATGCAGAAACCGCGATGGCAAGTTCTTTGGGATCAGCATTGTACTGATAGTGCACTAGTCCCTTTGGAAACACGAAAATATCCCCGGTTTGGAGGGTTTGAGTGAAGAGTTTGTTAGTCGTGTCAACAAATCCAACCTCGAGAGAGCCTTCTACAACAAACNCAAACAAAGTTGTAGGAAGTGAAGCTGTGCCAGCATTAGCACTACCAAATGCAGAAACCGCGATGGCAAGTTCTTTGGGATCAGCATTGTACTGATAGTGCACTAGTCCCTTTGGAAACACGAAAATATCCCCGGTTTGGAGGGTTTGAGTGAAGAGTTTGTTAGTCGTGTCAACAAATCCAACCTCAAGAGAGCCTTCTACAACAAACAAGAGTTCTGCAGCACGTGGATGCGTGTGAGGGGGATTAACTCCACCAGCAGGGTACTGCAATAACGCCATTGAAACACTCTGGCCATCCAGGGCAGGGAATTCGACCTTGCTAGCTTTTGTTACCTTGAAATTTGGTGGGGTTGAATCGAAAACTCCACGCAGGCCAGTGAATGTAAAGAAATTTCCATCTGGTCCATTGACATTCGGTGGGACTATGAAGTCGGACAAAATATCCGGATCACTTGCTTGGACCATCCAAGAAGTCGCAAAGATGGCTAGAAAGCCAAGTAAGAATGAAGCCATATTAATGGTAAGTTGGTTCAATGAGGCCACTCGGTATTGAGTTAGTTATTGTGATTTGAGGAAACTCGAGTGTTGATTATTGGCCTCCAATCACAACATTACCGAGCTCAAATAAACCACCAATCAACACCAACAATGAACAATCAAATCTCCAAAGCCAACCACCCAAAAAAATCGGTTGCTTCAAGTTCCACAAAGAATTGAGGTGAATGATCTTTGGCAGCCCAAACTAGCCCCTAAGGCTAAGAGAAGAGGATGAGAAGGTAACACAAAGCAAGAGGAAGCACAAACCAAAGAACTCTCTTTTCTCTCCTCAAACTCACGGCTCCAACATTCACTCTAGGGCAAGACAAGAAAAAACGACCAACTTATAAGCCAAATAAGTGGTCTTCTAGGTCAAAAGATAAGTGGCCCAATAACTAACAATGAATGGCCTCCAACCAAAAAACCCGTCCAAGGCATTTGGGTTGGGCCATGAATAACTCTAATTAATTAGACTGCTTCAAATGGCCCACTTAGGTTTTCGGAGTGATCCGTTCATTGTGGTGTCGACATTTCACTTTAATCATCGGTCGATGCCTATGAAATCTAATCCAAACTATAAAATCGATTTAACATCATCGCCCGAATTTATTGGGTATCAAAACCCAACAAATCTCTACCTGATTCCCAATAAATCTGCAAGCAACCAAAACACACAGGTTATACTTGCACAATCAAGGTAACTGATAAAATTGATATCACAGACCTTACCTCGTGTTTCGGACCCGAAACACATATCATACTTGCTCCATATACTCACCAGGGCTAAGGTCAAGAACACCCAAGTAGAAACAGATAATCATAGCAATCAATCAAGAGCAAATAAACATATCATACATAGGATAACACATAGATCTTTTCAAACATGTTCACACAGAAAAATAGATTAATACCAAGTTAATCAAACACACGGTCAACACATATGCAACTAATGCATAAATAACCTCACGAAAAAGATCTCACCACACTTATCTTATCTCATTCCGTGTTACTCACTCCTCGAGAACACATATCTCACATCATCGTCCACCATGCTCACTAGACTAATCACTCAACTCATGTATAACTTGTAAGTCTTTATAATTTTCTATCACCACATCACTTCTCCGACCTAAATGGATAATGGGTCTCCACCTAACAGAAGTGATAGAAGTACCTCACTCGCACTCCACTTGATCAGGGTCTGGTCCAGATAAAGGATTTCAAACATTTGATCACATCTCCACCGTGATCCAAATGTCACACTCCACAAACCACAATATACCCCTAGTCATATATACTCCATCTTACCAAAAGACATATGCACACGCTGCTAATGCATGACAAATCAACACCTTTCGGTGACCACAAAGGTTNCTCAAATTTAAATTGACCAACGCATCAGAAGGTTACTCCAACACCAATACTCTAACAAATCTACAAAGAGTTTATCCCACAAAAGGAAAGGTGAAGGTGACACTCACAAAGAGAATAGAAGAACAAGTTGGTTACTTCACTGCACTCACAAAAGGCACTCACACAGAGAACGAAGATAACCCTCACAGCTGCCTCACACAATCTCACAAACTACACAGGCTCACAAAGATGAAGGAGAAAATGGATGCCCCTCTAACTTCTCACTACCACACCCTCTCACACCACTCACAGAAAAAAAAATAGAGTACGTCATAGGTGCCAACCCACTATGCATACAAACACATTACACAAAGTAATAAGATCACTCCAATTCATGTCAATGTACATATCAAACACATTGAAATGCAACATATAATCACGTAATGGAATTGAGCAATCACACACATGCAGAAATGATTACACACGGATGCAAATGTAGTAACTAGGTTTACACTTAATAAACCTCACTAGGGTCATCACTCGACCCTAAAACCATGCAGAAAGGATTACACACGGATGCAAATGTAGTAACTAGGTTTACACTTAATTAACTTCACTAAGGTCATCACTCGACCCAAAAACCAGATTCTTCTAGCCTCTCAACTTACTTTTCTTCTTAGGACAATCTCTAATGAAGTGTCCAGACTTACCATAGCTACAACACCACCGTCTACCACCGATTTGTCGATCATCACTCGAATCACTGTTATCTTGAGCTTTACCCAAACTCATTTGCTTAAACTNTAAAATAATTGAAGTGTATGCAAGTTCATCATATTCTTCTTTTTGTGCATCTGTAAAATTTTCTGGAAATTTGCCATCAATGGCTTTTGAAACTTTTTGTTGAACCAAAATACCCTTCATCTTTTGTTGCCAAATTGAAAAATTCCCTTTCCCGTTAAAAATCTCAATTTCGAAATGTGAAGACATTTTGAAAAACAGAACAACCAAAATTGCACAAATAGATCACACAAAGTAATCCTAGGTAGCAATATACACCGTTCTAGATTCCCAGGATTTCGTGAGGCTCAAAATCTCAGATCAAGGGAACGTTCGAACGGGTCAAGGCCAAGGTGTTCTAACGGAATAATCAATGCAACGCGAAGGTATGTCAACACAATTCAAATTTCCAAACAAAACAATCTAACATAGAGACAAAACAACAATTACAGCATAAAAACAATTACCAAATTACAGTCAAAATTCAACACTTCAAATAAATCAATTAATTCCTAAATTCTAGCACAAGCAATGATTATCCCTTCATGGTAACCTCAATCCTAATGTCACCCCCACACGATGACGCGCTAATGTTGGAATTTAAAAGGGATAAGCCAGTTTACCAGAGCGGACATATCTGAGTCCTTAAATTACAAGAGATGTGAATTTACTACTTTAGGACGGTAATTTGTGGCCTCGAGTAATTCAGTAAACGTTTTGCAGTTCGACCGTCGTACCCACCGAGGACAAAATCGTCTAATTTTTCCTGTGTAACCTGAAACACTAAACCAAAAATATCAATACGTTTAGGAAATCAAGATTAACAAACTGCCTGACGAAGTCGAGGTCAGAAAATACTCAACACTCCTCCACGCGCCAGGACACCTCTCTGGCGTAGACTTCACGCACCGCCACATGCGCCGCTAAAGAAGCTCACGCGCCGGTCAGGGAGTAGTTCCTCTGCCTGTTGAGTCCACTTGTGGTCTTGGATTCTTCATGTGGTCACTAGTTCGCCCAGAAAACAAGTTTGTAAGTTCGGATCCTGTTGAAACAATCGGGGCAGTCTCAAAACTGCAATTTTGGGCGATTTCTACTCGATTTTCCTGCTAATTTCTGGCTAAAAAATCACCTCAACTTTATCTGATACCAAATGTTGATTATTGGCCTCTAATCACAACATTATCGAGCTCAGATAAACCACCATTCAACACCAACAATGAACAACCAAATCTCCAAAGCTACAACCACCCAAAAAACTGGTTACTTCAAGTTCCACAAATGAGTGAGGTGAATGATATTTGGCAGCCCAAACTAGCCACTAAGGGTAAGAGAAGAGGATGAGAAAGAAGCACAAAGCAAGAGGAAGCACAAAGCAAAGAACTCTCTTTTCTCTCCTGAAACTCATTGCTCCAACGTTCACTCTAGAGCAAGACAAGAAAAAACAACCCACTTATAAGCCACTTAGGTTGTCGGAGTGATCCGTTCATTGTGGTGTCAACATTTCACTTCAATCATCGATCGAGGCATATGAAGTGTAATCCAAACTATAAAATCGGTTTAATATCATCGCCCGAATTTATTGGGTATCAAAACCCAACATCGAGTACTTCTCTTTTATAGTGTTCATTTCCTGTATCCCGAATAATCCAAGTTGGGGTTAGATTGGCCGGCCATGCCTTGATCTTCACTAAGGTTGTGTTTCATACACTACTTTTTCCTTCAAAAATGGAAAAAATTTACCATTTCCATGCAACAGAAGTGTTTGATGGAAGAAATTGAGAAATTTGAACAAGAAAAAATTTTCCCCCACGCCACCCCACGTTCCCTCTTTCCTTGTTTTAAGGGTCTAGGTGGTTGCTGCCCCTTTTTTTAGCAATAAAAACAAATTTCATAAGCAGTTATAAAAAAATTTCACTTTAATAGACAATTTTCATGTAAAATAAAACAAAACAAATACTAAACTTTGATGAAAAAATGATTTTTTAGGAAACATTTTTTTTCATTTTTTTTTTTTTACTTTTTTGCAATGGAAACAGATTTCATAACCAATTGTGAAATTTTGTTTTTTTACTTTAATGGACAAATTTGATGCAAATGAAGGTCAAACGAACAAAAAATTTAAAAATTTTCATGGTGGAAAATTATATCGATCAAACACACTTTCTCGGGAAAACGAGTTCCGGCAAATACTTTCCCTCGAATTCATTTTCTTTCCACCCATTTTCTACCATTACAATCAAACTGACCCTTAGCAATGTAACATCTTGCAGACCTAGTATGTGATTTTATTCTTTATTGAAGTTTCCAGTCACCTGCTTCCCTTCTTGACTAGCTCAATGTGTGCACATTGATTCGCGTAATTAAAAGTGTTGTTTGATAACCAAAATTTACCATGGAAATCATTGTCTGGGTTTGGCTCACACACTTACCATTTCCTTGGTTTTGTTACTTTTTAATTTTAATTTTTTTTTTGGCAATGAAAACAAATTATATGGACAATTGTAAAAAAAAAAAATTCCTTTAATTGACAATTTTCATAAAAAAACAAAGCTAAACAAACACCAAAATATCCAAAATTTCAACATTTTCCAGGTGGAAAATTATACCAATTAAACACAATTAATTGACAATTTCCAGGAAAATAATTATAGGCAATTCAATTCCCTGAAATTCATTTTCTTTCCACCCAAATTCCATTATTACAATCAAACGGACCCTGTCTAATTGACCATGAAAACGTGATTGACGAGTTTTTTTTTTTGTTTTTTTTAAATAGACACTTCCAAGTTTGCAGCTAAGTAATCCCCGTAATGCCTTAATAGACTTTTAATGTTAGAAATAAACATAAATACACCTCCTGCCTAACAAGCGCAATCCAACCAAATTGCTAGTGGAGCAGTTACGAGGTTGCAAAGTGGACCGTGATGGCTCATTTTGACGGATCAACCCCCTGCACTTGGTCGGGTCTGGGTCCCGATCGGTCCAACCCACGCTGCCTCCCACCC